ACATGGTGGCCATAAGGGTTGTAGAACCAAAGATTTTTTCAGGACAAGATTATCAGAATAGGTGCCATTAACTAAAAAAAGGTCTTTGTTAGAGGCATTGAAGACACTGAGTTTGTTTTGAATAGTCTAGGAAAATGAAAGTGATTGACATCATGCCTGACAGGCAGTGGAAAGGAAAGGAGCTTTATTTCTGTGACCTTTGACTCCATGGGTAAAATTGTTATCCAGAAATACCATACAATGAATGACAGTACTGTGAAGAAAGGAAAGCCCTGTCAAAGTAAGAGGTGTCTAGTTCTTCTCTAGCCAAAAGAATCAAAGTGATTCTGGTTAACTTTGGCAATGGGAATGGCTACAGTGTGTGTGGTAATGGTAGAAGCAGTTCTAGAGATAGCAGAAGCTACAATGGTTTTGAGAGTTACAACAATCAGTCTTCAGATTTTGGACCAATGAAAGGAGGAAGCTCTGGTGGTAGAGGCCAGCACGTTACCACACCATGAAACCAAGGTAGCTGTGGTGGTTCCAGCAGCAGTTAGGGAAGTGGCAGGTTTTAATTACTACCAAGCAACAGCTCAGCAGGAGAGGAGACCCAGAGAAACGACAGGGAAGTCACAGGCAACAGCAGACTTACAAACTTGAGCAAGCACAGTGATGGGAGGACATGCTGCTACAAAGATGACATGTTTTAGGTAGTACTTTTGTATGGGCAGAACAACCTCAGCACTGTATCTGTGACTAACTGTAAAACTAACTATTTAGTTTCTGTTCTGTGGAAAGTGTAAAGCATTCCGACAAAAGCTTTTAATTTGGACTTTTTTCCCCCCACCCATTTGTTGATTGCTAAATGTAACAATTGGAAAGAATGCTAAATAAATGTGCCTTAAAAAAAAAGAAGTAGATATGTGAGAAACACAGCTATTAAAAAAAACATAGCTATAGAGTTTTTAATTGCCCTTGCTGGGTCTTGACAACACTAAGCAAGGAGTTGAATAAACGTTGTGTTTCCTGAGACCTGTGAAAAATTACTTCTGAATTTATAGAATATCTGTGTGCATTTAAAAATAAAATTACACTATACCTCACTTGCATTCTGCTTGCTTAGTGCAGAAACTTAACTTATAAAACGTCAGTTTTAAGGTTAACATGATCAAATCAGGATTTGAACTTACATTTAAGCAGTATGACTACCATTAATAGCTTAGCCCATGAGTTGTTTTTTGTTAGAAGAACATGAGTATAATTTTGGATTTACTTTTATCATTCATAATATACTTATCCCTTTGAGGGCCAGGGAGATGGCTCAGTGGAATAAACGCTTCCCTGGCAAGCGCAAGGGCCTGAGTTTGATCCCCACTTCCACCAAAAATAAAAAATAATATACTTGTCTCTTTGAATAGAGGGAATGCAGTTTGTTATGAAAAGTAACTACCTTGATTTAAATCATTTGAAACTTACTCTGTAAATTTATAACTATTTTTTAAAGAATATCTAAATGTTCTCTCACAATCCTTGAAATAGTTATCATGAACTTAATAGTAAGTTTTAATGTAAGATATAACTCAATCATCAGGCAAAAATCAGGTTCATATGATATATTGCTATCTAAACTACTTCCTGTGTCCAAGTAGTTTGCCTTTGTGGCTGTAGGAAAGTAGAGGATGCCAGAGCTTAGCAATCTAAGTGCCTGCATGACAAGCACAAGGACCCAGGTTTGATCTTCGGTCCTGCATGCTGAGTAGTACCAGAATCCTGAGTGCACCCTGCTGACCACTGAAACCGGGCATGGTGGTGCACACCTGAGATCCCAGCACTGGGGAGGCTGAGACAGGAGGAGTACTACAAGTCCAAGTTGCATAGTGAGACCCTGTACCGAATGAATAAATAAGTAAATAAAAGATTTAAAAATATTTTGTAAAGTAGAGGATGCATTCATCAACTCAGTAGTTGTTCATTGGTTTTCTTTTTAAAATAGGATTGTCAGATTCTACATGGTTTCTGTGCAGCTCTGTGAAGAGACATGAGACTTGTGTGCCTTTTTAAAATTCTAGACAAACCACTTTGAAGGACCTGTTAGTGTTTTGCTTCTGCCGAGTAGCAACACTAGGTGGTGCTATTTAATAGCCTCCAGAGAAGTTTAACTTGCCTAGAGAAGCTTGCATCATGTATGCAGTTTAAATTTAGAGGGTCCAGGGAGATGGCTCAGTAGAATAAAGTGCTTGCCTGGCAAGCTCAGGGGCCTGAGTTCAATCCCCGGTTCCGCAAAATAATAATAATAATAAATTAAAAATAAATAAATTTAGAATGACTTGCATTCATACTTCAATATCATGAAAAAGGTAAACTTAATAAAATTATAAAGGAAAGTGTAATCCTAAAGCTAGCAAATCCTGACAGGAACTAGAAAGGAGGGTCTAACAAACTTATGAGTAGTAAAAATGTTACCGCTTAATGAACATCATTTTAAAATAACATTAGAATTTAAGAAACTGAGTAAATATTTTTTTCTTGAGTATTCCATCATTTAATGTTATTCAACTTTCCATTTAAAAAAATGTTAACATTCTCTTTTTGTTACTTACGTTGTTTATACTGAAGTAGAATATTTCTTTTACTCAGCTACATAGTCCACTGGCAATTCAGAAGTGAGGAAGAAATATTGCATTGTCTTTTTCTGTATATTGTCACTAGTGATTAAGATTATAAATGCTTTCTCCCTAGTAACAGTATGCGTTCTGCTTTTTTAAAAGGGAGAAAAGACATTTTTAACTTTAAAGAAACTTTCCCTACTAAGTTAGAACAAACGCTGATAATCCTAATTTCATTTTTAATAAAATAGAATTGATTTTAATTGGTTGCTATTATTAGGCCCTAAGGCTAAAGTACAGTCTGACAATCTGAACCCTTAATAGGAAGATACTACTTGTGATACATTATTATTCTTAGTTCAGCAATGCAAGAAAACTGGCTCCGAGTGGTTGTTACTCACCAGTAGGACAGTGTTAGGAAGAAGAAGATTCTGAGCTGATTTTTAATCTATACCCTAGTTTCCTACTCACATATTTTGGGGGTTGTGGTGGCACTGGTTGTTTGTGGTATTAGGGATTGAATTTAGAGCCTTGACACTGAGCTATATCCTGAGGCCTTTTGTGTTTTTTTTGTTGTTGTTTTGTTTTGTTTTTTTAGGCCTTTTGTATCTTTTTTGTTGTGGTTTTTTTTGTTTGTTTGTTTTTGGGTTTTTTTTTTTTGCGGAACCAGGGAACTTGGGCCCTTGCCCTATGCCAGGGAAGCGCTTATTCTACTGTGCTATCTCCCTGGCTCGGCCTTTTGTATCTTGAGACAAGGTCTCAGTAAGTTGTTAAGTATCCCAAGGTAGGCTCAAATTCACAGTCCTCCTGCCTTGATCTCTTAGAATACTGGTATTAGAAGCTTGCACTATTTATATGGTTTTTTGGCATCAGTATCTCTACTGTGTTTTAAAAATTATTAACCAGCCTAATACTCAGATGAGTAAATAAATGCCATTATTTATATACTTCTAAAGAAATTTTACTTGAAGCAGATTTTCCTTTGAGATCTTCACTTGACAGAATTGTTAAAAGGTGGAATTAGAGCTTTTCCCATCAAAAGTAGAAATGGATCAGTTTTGTTTGTTTGTTTGTTTTGTTTTGATTTGTTTTGTTTTGTTTTTTGCTGTTACTAGTACTAGGGATTGAACCCAGGGCCTTGTACATACATGCAAAACAAGTGCCATGCCAGTGAGTTGTTTTTTGTTTTTTTTTTAACACAGTTAAGAGCACCATCTTCACTAAAATCATTGTCACAAGTAGTATTTCTTTCAAATAAAATTTTTGTCACTAGGGGGAAGATGAATGGTGGGAAGTTTTAAATTAAGGGTTCCTATCTGATTGAGAGAATGTAAAAGCTACTGTTTTAAATATTTCAAAAGAAGAAGCTGACTAAAATACAATACTCAATTTGAAGAAACAGAAGAGTGGAAAAGTTATAAATTAGTCATGTACCAGTTTTAGGAGAAAGTAGTTTCTTCACCTGGGAGACTTTTTAAATGAACTAGAATTTTTTTATTAGCAATGTCTTGTGTTCTGTTGATATGTTCTTACCCTCTATATCTATCATGCTGACTTTTAATAGCTACCAAACCATAATTATATGGGTGAAAACTTAAAAATATCTTCAATATATTAATATAAAAATTAAAATTTACAAATAGAAAAAAGTGTGAATAAGTATAGTTTGGATGAGTAGAGAATAAGCGCTTACAGTACACTGTAAAGTTCAGAGCCAAGAATTCAGAACAAAGGTCTATCTAATACTGAAATACGAAGTGCATGCTTTCTCTGTGGCTATAGTGCACTTTATAGCTTTAGTTTTATATGTAAAGAAGCAGTGGGTTAAAGTTAAAGGTACTGGATAGGAAGTTGAGATTCTGGGCCTTGTTCTGTTATTGAGTATTACATTGAATATTTGTCTCTCTCTTTCTATCTGTCTGTTTGAGACAGAGCCTCATTATGTAATGCAGGCTGGCCTTGAACTCATGGCAATCCTCTTTTTCTACCTGATCATCCTACCTCAACTTGAGTTCTGGGATTACATGCATGCACCACCACACCCAGCTCAAATATGTCTCCTGCTTATTTTCTGTTCTATAGAGTAAGTGATTGAACATATTGATCAAGTGAAAAATGACCATATAGAAAAAATATGAGAGTATTTTGTATGTGTTGAGATGGGCTATAGATAAAAAGTACACTGTAGGTAATCACTGTTTTGTCTATGACTGGTAAAGAAAGTAAATGAAATTTCCATAAAGCACCTAGAATGGGCCAGACACATGGTAAGTATCAACTTTGGCAAGCGTGTAAATACAGATGATAGTAAAGATTTGGTAGTAAGCACTGTTTCTGAACAATTGTATGATTAAACTACTTTATAATCAGCATAAAACTAACATGATTTTTAAATAAGCACGTTTTATTTTCTAGGATCAAATCTAAATCGCTGTGGTTTCCGAGGCTCTTCATATCTGGGTATTCCATTCAATCCATCAAAGGTTAGTTTTGTTTTTTTTTTGGTTGGTAGAAGGGATGTAGGAAGATTTTAGTGAGGAGAAAAAAAAAATTATTCAGAAAGAAGTATACCTCAGGTTTCCATATGGCTAAATATTGTATAAACTGAAACTTCCCAAGAGGAACCTATTTCTCCCTCTCTGGAAGAATTTTTAGTACATATCTATGCAGAAACTTATGTCAGTTGTGAAAACTTACGTCTCTCTTACTATTAAACATTTGCATGTGTGTGCACAAAAATTATTAGTGGTTTCTTGGAGAAAATGAAAATAAAGCACTTAAGTACTGTGATCCTTGCTTTCTGAGAAACCAATAAACTTGTACATAGGTTACATAGGACCTCACATTCGGTTTGCATAATTTAGGAATAGAAGAAAACACTCTTCTTGGGGCCGGGGAGATGGCTTAGTGGAATAAGTGCTTCCCTGGCAAGCACAAGGGCCTGAGTTCAATCCTCAGTTCCGCCAAAAAAAAGAGAAAACATTTTTCTCACAGCAATGATTGCAGATCCAGATTAATTTTATGACTTTTATGGCAACAGGGAAAACTTCCTCCACATTGTAGCTAGAGGCTTTGGAATCTGCCCATGCTAGTATAAAAAGCAGTGAGAGGCCTAATAAAGTAAAGAGTTTTTTCTTCTTCAAAGAAACCAACCCAGAACTTTAGGTATTCCATTTGTGTACAAAGTCACCGGTATTTTTCTACAGTGAAAAATGGAGAAAAACCTTTTTATTTAAAGAGTCTCCAGAAAATGGAAACTTTACTCCTTGATAGGGTCATTCTCTGATATATTGATTTTAATCCAGTCAGTATCTGATTCTACTGAATATATCAAGGTTTGTATCCATTTAAAGATGAAGTGCTGCTAGTGTTTCTGTACTTTAATTTTTTAGAATAATATTTTGGAGAAAGCATACTACAGTAGAAGAGCTGCTTCAATTTTCTGTGTATGTGTTGGAGCCACTTCAATTTTCTTTGTTTGCTGAAACTGTAGATCAGCTTCCTACTAAGAGTCATATGAATTTACCATGATGTCTCCACAGGGAATGTAAACTCTTTGTGGTTTGCAGGAAATGTGAAAACAAAGGACTCATTAAATGTTTCTTTTTTTTTGTACATACATTTTCTACCTTAAGCCCGTACTGAAGAAAGGTGGTCTTTTCAGTTAGAATGAACAGGATAGCTTGCTATCATGATACTGTTAATGACCATGGTATAATATTAGACCATATAGATAGATACCAATGTTACTTGAAGTAATAACTTTACCTTGAATAAACTCTACCGCCAAGACATTTTATTTAATTAGGTTTATTTTTTCATGATACAGAGGCTTCTGGGGATTGAATGCAGGGTTTTCACACTGAGCTTTCTCCATCCTTTGCTTGTTGTTTGTTTGAAGACAAGGTCTCACTAATTCCCCAAATTGCCCAGTCTGCATTTAACCTTGTTGCCTCAGACTCCCAGAGTTCACACTTGGCTATTTTTTTCTGTCTTTTTTTTTTTTTTTTTTTTTTTTTTTTTTGTATTTTAGGGATGGGTCTACAGGGTGTTCAGGGTCTCACTAATAAATCAGACTAGTAGTGATTCTCCTGTTTACAGCCTCCCAAGTACTAGCATAACAGGCGTACACCACCATACCCCATCTCAATCTCTGATTCGGCAGGCCTGGGGATCGAAATCCTGGTCCCCGTGCCTGCTTGCGGGTGCTTTAATCCGCTGAGCTATTTGGCTGGCCCTGGCTTTTTCTCTTGAGGTGGGTGTCGCTCTTTTGCCCAAGCTGGCACCAAACTCCTGGGTTCAAGTGATCTTTGTGCCTCTTGAGTACCTAAGACTAAAGGTGCATCCACTATAGCCAACTCTAAAGATATTTTTTAAAACAGTAATTAGAGTTAAAGAAACAGTTTTTGCCCTTGGTTACAGATTCACATGAAATGCATTTTCAGATCTTAATTTACTGGGACCGGGGAAGCTGGCCCTCCTTGCTGTGGTGTTCATCTGAATTCTCAGTGGGAAGAGGGGCTAGAAACTCTAGGTGGAATCACACAGGGCAGCAGGAGTTGTCGCTTAATGTGTAGTGTAGAGTCCAGGAAACAGATTGTGTAATATATAAGTAAATATAGCCTCATTGATTTTTCTTCAGAAATCACCACACAACTTAATGACCGTAGACTTGAATGTTAAATGCCCAGATTGTTAGCAGCCATGCAGCACTTTTGGAGAAACACTCACAGGTCCTCCCAAATCACTTTTCTTACTGATTTTATTCATAAATATCATACTCTCTATTCTTCATGGTCTTTTAACATGTACTGTCTTATTAGGTACTGCTTTGCTTTTATATTTTACCTGTAATGCCATCTCTGTGTGTACCTATTTCAGACTCCTCCTCTGTTGTACAGAAGAATTGCTATAATCCCCATACATTTTATATCTCCTTCCCGATCATTTACAGTGGTCTTTTTTTGTGCTATAATTACTTGTTCAGATCTAAGGTTAAGCTCTACATTTGGTATTTGGGTTCCCTACAGGGTTTTGTTTTGTTTTTCATTAGGGAAGGGTCTACAGAGTGTTTAGGGTCTCACTACTAGATCGGACTCGTAGTGATTTTCCTGTTTACAGCCTCCCAATTGCGGGGATTACAGGTGCCCGCCACCACACCCAGTCTCAGTTGCCATCTCAGTGTGCCCCAGGGGTGGGGCCAACATTAGTGGGGCCTGCACAGCCGGCCTGTGATTAAACACCTGTACAGGTTTTTTTTTTTTTACTGTATATATAACAGTTGTTTTACTTAAAAATGAAATATGTTAGAGTTCTAAGAAGTCTATTATAAAGGTTGCATAGAATAGCCAAGAGTACCCAAAGAGGAACTTAGGATGGAAGGTGCCTTGATGAAAACTTACTTGGTAAATTTGTGGGGCCATTTAAAGAAGCATATCATTCTTAAATAACTAACATCTTTTCAGTTACTTATTTAATCCTTACAGTAACCTCATGAGATAGTTACTACTATCTCCCTTTTCCACAGTAAGAAAAATCAATAGCAAGCCAATAAGTAGTAGAGCCAGAATTTAATGCCTCTTTGTGATTGTAGAAATTAACATTTACTTACAGGAGGTAGAGGAATGTATGTTAGCCAAAACCTTGATATGAATTTTATTTTGCCTGTCTAGTATTTTGAGCAGTTATTTTAGTATTTGAATCAGTTATTGGTAAATCCAAACTAAAGGGAAGCCTATAAAAAATGAATTAAGTGTACATATATACTTAGTCCATCAAAAATAAAACTTTCTTAAACTGAGGGATCAGTTGTACAGCATGATATTCTGTATTTTTCAAATGAAATTTTTTTTAAAAATAACCAATAGAATAAGCTAAGTATTTGAAGTTATTTATAAAGTGAACAGTTTTGTATATTGTGGAATATAATATTGTGTTAGCATAATAAACCATTTTTAGATTGAAATTTTGTCTGGCAATATCAGCTTCCATAGTCTTTGTAGGGTTTCCTACAAAGAATCGTGTTTTGTAAAGTTTCAGAAATCTTTGATAACTGTTTTCAGTTATCTTTTTTTCAGTTAGTACAATTCAACTTAATCCCACTAGTATTGTAATAGGAGCTTCCTAGTCTGCTAGCGCTGCTCTGCAGTTTCCAGTCTTATAGTTAGTCCCCCTGTAAGAACATAGGCTTTCCGAAATACTCTTTGAAAACAATAACCCAGGTGAACCTTAAATAGAAAAAGTTACGTCATTTTATTTCCAAATAATGTTTTAGTTTTAGTATTTTGAGCTCTTTGTGTTTCATGGGAGATTTTTTTGGGGAGGGGGATTGTTTCTTTGGTATTCTAAGTGCTAGTGTCACTTAGTGACTCATACTTCAATTTTATAGGATAGCAGAACGATAAAGTTTTCCAGTGTATTTTTTAATATGGTGATTACTAATACGGCATTTAAATTCTGTATAAGATAATTGTTGCTTCTTGTATAAGTCATTTTTATTCAAAAACTGCTTTTTTTTCTAACTTTATAAGACTTAAATTGTAAGTAATAGATTTGGTTAATTACAAGTTCAGATAATTTGATTTATTCGAATATAACTATTCTAATAGACTTTGAGGTCTCTAAGCTGAATTTTAAAATTATTTAACCTGGCAGTGGTACATGGCTGTCATCTAAGCTACTCAGGATACTGACTGGGACAGGAAGATTACAAGTTTGGGGCCAGTCTGGACAACATCAAGACCCTGTCTCAAAACAAAACAAACAAAAAAAAATTATAGCCTTGGGCAGTAACTTGGGCAGTCATAGTTAACATATTATTGAGACATACATAAAAAAGGAGGCTTATTTTTCTCTATCAAATATCTGTACAGTTTAGTGCAAGCAACATTTAAGTTTCCTGTTTATTAAAGCTTCATATCAAACTGGTTAGTGAAATTAATTTTGTTTTTTGATTCATTAACATATTCATGTTTTAATTTAGACGCCTGGAACAGCTCATCCATATGATAGTGGCCACATAGCAATGACCTACACTGGCCTCTCGTGTTTAGTTATTCTTGGAGATGACTTAAGCCGAGTAGATAAAGAAGCTTGCTTAGCAGGTTTGAGAGCCCTTCAGCTGGAAGATGGAAGGTATGAGTCATTCGTTGTTACTTTTTTTTTTTAGAAATAAGAGTGTTTAGGAGATAAAAGGGACACTAGATCTTTATTTTTAAATCTATGCACTGTTAGAACCACTGGAAGTTTATGTATACATAGTTAAGTGCCTAGTCAAAAAAATGTTCAAGGTTTTTTTTGTATGAGGGAAAATAAAGTAGTTTTACAATAGAACTCTTTATTGATAGTTTAACTTCTGGATTGTAAAAAATGCTATTTTGAAATAAGAATATAGTTAGTCTGAATTTTTGTGCCTTAAAATTCTAGTGGGGGAGGAGATGAACTTTAAATGTCATGTGTCTCTGTGTAAATAGTTTAACATTTTCAAGAGATAGAAAAGAGTTGATTTGCTCATACTTGATGATTTTTGTGGCCTAAGGATCTTCTAATAGTTTTAAGTGAAAAATAATTTTTCTTACTGTAATCGCAGGACTTGTGAAGCTGAGACAGGAGGATTGCTTTGAGTTCAAGGCCAACATGGGCTATATAGTGAGATTCTGTCTTAAATAACATTATTTTCTCTTAAGTTGGGTGTGGGAGGCACGTGCCTATAGCCTCAGAACTCTGGGAAGCTATAGAAATAGGATCATAAATTTGAGCCCAGCTTGGGCAATTTAGGGCAGCCCTGTCTCAATATAAAAAAAAAAAAAAAAAATAGACAACTAGGAATATAGCTTAGTGTCCTCATGACTGCAAATAATAATAAAATCATTCTTGTTATTTTTAAATTTATAAAGTGATAAAGTCATGGCAATGCTAAGGAAAGAACCAAAACCAAACTCTACTATGTTGTTACATTTATATTCCATCTGAATCTCTTATTTTTACTGTTTGTTTTTTCTCAGAACTGGGGATTGAACTCAGGCTCTTGCACTTGCCAGGGAAGCACTTATTCTACTGAACCATCTCCCCAGTCCCCTATTTGTAGTGTTTTCAAAGCACTTCTTTTAAAGAGGGAGAAATAAATGTAGACATGAATAAGTTGGCATTTGGAAATACTATAAAACTAAATATTTACCTAAAACAGCATGAGACTTACATTGTCTTTAATTACTGCTACCTCATCTTTGTTTACAGACAATAAATAGATAATGGAACACAGATTAATTTTTCTGGTGGGGGTCTGAAGCAGAGTCTCCCTTTGTAGTGCAGCCTTGAATTCACTAAGTAGCCCAGGCTGGCTTCGAACTTGCAGCAGTCCTCCTACCTCAGCCTCTCAAGTTCTGAGATTATAAGCGTGCACCACCATGTCCAGCAGAATACAGAATATTACCTCTTAAAAACTAAACATGTAAGCAGACACAGCATCATTGATGAATCATTTGTTCACTGCAAATACATTTAAAAGAAATTCCACACAGAAGAACACAAGCAGGAATTCTTATGACTCATTGGGTCTCTGGTTTTACCTGCTACTTTCTCTGCCATTAATTCTCAAACCAGTATTACAGCTTCCCTTCTTAGGAGTAAATAAATTTAATCCAAGAGCAGCACCTAGGAAGGAGTAGCATGGTCATTATAATATTACCCAGGAATCAAAACTTTGAAACAGGGATGATTGAGAGATTGTTTTATATTATTCAACTTAATATTGCTATTATGTAATAAAATTAGAATATGGTTTTTAAATGAGTGATGTTTATGAGTAAAAACATGAAGTTGTTTCTAACCTTGCAGTCCACTGTTAATAGAAAGTCATATTATTATTACAATTTTAGTTTTTGTGCAGTACCTGAAGGCAGTGAAAATGACATGCGATTTGTGTACTGTGCCTCCTGTATTTGCTATATGCTCAACAACTGGTCAGGCATGGATATGGAAAAAGCAATCAACTATATTAGAAGAAGTATGGTGAGTTATGTTGATAAAATTGGCTAGTCTATTATTTCTCTTGCTGTAATATAATGTGTGCCTCATCTTTTCCCCCAAGAATTTGGAAATAATGGCGCTAAGATTGCTTTCTTAGTTTATCATATGTCAGCACACTATAGAAATAATTTCTTTTTTTGGTCTAGAAATAATCTTAAAGAGTAAATTGACTCCTTGTCCATAAAAAGTAATCATTTCATGTGATTTTTTAAAAAATATAACATTTGTTTTAAGGATAATCGTAGAAATGTTATTCTTTCTCACAGTTTTGCCTTCTTTACTGGCATTGGTAAAGGAAACTCAATCTGAGATGGAATTACCCTCTGCTCTGTGTCACCTCATAGATAAAACTGCAGGAAATAGAAGTTTTTCTTTCTAGGTTTATTACTTTACAAATACGAAGCTTTTCATTTTGTAAATTATAATATGTAAAACTAATTCAACCAGAATTTCAGCATCTCTCAAAATGGAAGTGTATGTTCTTGGAGGAATGAAGTTGGTTTTACTGAGTGTGTAACTGGATCAAATCTTGTATAATACACGATCGCACATATTTTTAAATGCCTATGGATGCAGAAAGAAACTCGTAAAAGAATTTTAACAAGAATTGAGAGGTTTGGGGGGGCCACATTTGCCATGAATAGTACAGAAGTAATACAGTTTTCTCATTGCATTATATCTGAATATAAAGTTGGTTGATCTGCCCTGTATTTGCTCAGTTGGTTAAGGTGGTATATGCCAGTTTTCTCTGTAAAGTTAGTGGGGTTTTCCTGTAGCTGTTCAGTATTTCATTATTGATATCTGGAAACTGTAAATATCCTCTCATCATACATTACCCTGTAGTGTTGCTGGTATGCATTGATGACTTTACAGCCGTAGCATCCATCCTACAACTATCAGTTGAAACTGTTAGAAAAAGTTTCTCCTTTCTTTACTTAAATGTTTATATCAATGAGGACTCTAGATTCTTATATTATTTAGTGGATTATAATCTGTTACTATCATTATACTATTTTGATGTTTATATTGTCTCATATTTGGCTAATGAGAACCTTTGCAAGGCTGTTCAGTAACTTTATTTATTTAATGTATTTAGTACAAGGTCTCACTGCACAGATCGAACTCATAGTGATGGACTCAGTGATCCTTCCTGTTTTTCAGCCTTCCAAGTGCTGGAATTACAAGCATGTGCCATCATGCCCAGCCTCTCTCACCATCTCAGCATGCCCTGGGGATGGGGCCCGTGCAGCAGGCTGGGAATTGATGCCTCCAGCCCCTGTGTCTGCCTAAGCACATGCTTTAATTCGCTGAGTTATCTGGCTGGCCCTCAGTGCCTTTTTGATATGTTCGCTTTATTCTTTTTTTTTTTTTAAGAGAATACAAAATAGTAATAAAAAAATTAGAAATAATGCAGAATTCATTGAACAAAATAATATGAATTTGACAGTATTTATTATATTGCATCTTGTTATCTTCAACTTAGTTCACATTACCAGGTATGTGCATGCAAAATTAGAAAAAGAAGAAATATGTAAGAAATTAAGAAGAAAGAGGAAGAAAATGAAAAAAGAAGCCCCCCAAAATACAATTAAGCATAAACTACTTTACACAAACCAGCAGAAATCTACTATAATTATCCAAGCCATCCTGCACATATACATGGATATATCTCTTTGCCTCATTCTCTCCTGTCCTCATCCCAGTAATTTCTTCCTTTTGATTAGATTCACTCCATTTTCACAGCATCTGTTGTTCTCTTTAGATTTTATTTACTCTTTCAGGTTCTTATATTAGGGAGACAATATGATTTTTGCACATGCAGGTCTGATTTATTTCACTTAAGAATATGGTCTCTAGTTTCATCATTTACTGATAAAATCCTCCTTTTTTACAGCTGAATAATCTTCCCTTTGTATAAAAAATACCACATCTTTATTCATTCCACAGTTGAAGGGCATTGGGTTGTTTCCAAGATTTAGCTATGACAAATTGTGCTGCTTTAACATAGGTGCATGTATATTGCTATGGTATGATGTTTTTGGTTCATTTGGAAAAATACCCAAGAGGGGAACAGCTGGATTTAATGGGATCAAAGCTCCACGTTGATTTCCATAGTGGTTGTATCAGTTTGCATTCCTACTAACAGTGGAGAAGAGTTCTTTTTTGCCCACAGCCTCTCCAGCATTTATTCGTTCACTTTTTTTTTTTTTGTCTTTTTTAATGTATTTTAGTACAGGGTCTATAGGGTCTCACTACATAGATTGGACTTGTAGTGATTCTCCTGTTTTCAGCCCACCAAGTGCTGGGATTACAGGCAGGTGCCACCATGCCCAGTCTCAGTCACCGGCTCAGCATGCCCTGGGGGCATGGCCAGCACCACAAGCTGGGGATTGAACTCCAGCTACTGAGCTCTGCCTAAGCAGGTGCTTTAGTCCACTGAGCTATCTGGCTGGCCCTGTTCACTTCTTGATGACACCTGTTCTTTCTGGGGTGAGATGGAATCTCAGTGTTGTTTTAATTTACATTCCTCAAATAACCAATGATGTTGAACCTTTTTTCATGTTTCTTTGCCACTTACTTCATCTATGAAGAGTATATTCATTTCAGATGCCCATGTTGCCCATGTTTTGATTGGGTCTTTGAATTTTGAAGGCCTGATTCTAAAAAAATTCTTTGTATGTTCTAAAGAGAAGGCCTGTCAGAGGTACAGTTAACTATACTTTTTTCCCAGTTTGTGGGTTTTCTTTTTACTCTCTCGATGATTCCTTTCGACATACGAAAACTTTTCAAAAAAGATGATATCCCAGTTGTTTCTTTGAAGTATTTCCCGTGCGGTTTGTTTTTTTGTTCATGAACTCTCTGTCTAGCCCTATGTCTTTAAAATTTCTACGTACATTTTCCTCTAGGAGATTTAGTGTTCCTGTTTTAGTGTTTAAGTCTTTGATTCACTTTGACTTTTTTTAGTGCATGGTGATAGACATGGGTCTAATTTTAGCCTTCAACATGTAGAAAGCTAGTTTTTACAGCACCATTTATTAAAGAGGCTATTTCCTCCAGTGAACATGTTTGGCCTCTTGGTCAAAGATAAGGTGACTAAGTGTGTTTATAGTTGTGTCTGCATCTTCTAATTTGTACCACTGATCCTCAGGTCTGTTTTAATGCCAGTACCATGCTGATTTGATCACAACAGCTTAGTAGTATATCAAGTCCGGGATTGTGATGGCTCCTGCCTTTCAGTTGTTGCCCAGGACTGTTTATGGTACTGGTTCCAGATGAATTTTAGGAATGTTTTCTCTAGATCTTGTTCACTTTATTCTTAAGGACCTACTAGCTTTCTGCCACAAATATTTCAAGTTTATCCTTTAGTTTTCCACTGTTAGTCCTGAAATCAGTCATTTCTTTAGGAAGCTTTGATTTTCCTTATTTAGAAAGCAGAGTATTGGTACTAAGTGTGCTTATTGCTAGTGAGATACTATTGTTTCCAGGCCCTCTCTCAGAGGGTGGCATTAGGAAATGTATTATTATGTATATTTGTGTGTACAAATAGATATCCCCTATATATAGTCTGTTTCTGTATTCTTTTTATCACTCTAGTCATTAAAAACCATGAATCCACATAGATGTCTCAAATTTCAATCTAACACCAAAGGTTCATTTATTTTTTCTTTTTAATATAGTTGTATATTATTTATTTGAAAAACAGTTTAAGGGTTTCTGTTTGGATTCTATTTTAACTATTCACTTAGACTCTCAAGTATTAGAGTGCTATATATAATTCCAGTTACATTATGCAATAGTTAATAACCTTCTGCATATTTATTAATGTATTTTTAAAGATATATCTGTAGGCCTAGTAGTGGAATTGCTTGATCAAAGGCTAACTGCATATTTAATTTTATTAGGCGTATCCTATTTTCTCTTCAAAAAGATAAATGTTTGTATTCCTACTGGTATAGGAGGGTACCTGTTTTTGTGCAGCCTTTCCATAGAATTCAATAAAATTTTGCACATCTTTTTTTATTAACTTTTGAGACAGTGCCTTGGTATTGCCTATGCTGTCTCAAACTTGTAAGCTGTCTGCCTCACTATCCTTAGTGTCTGGAACTGCAGGCATGAGCTACCATCAATTCACATTTCTTTTATTATGAGTGACAGTGCCATTTTTTAAATTTAAGATCTATATAAAAGCATCCTGCAGGCCAAATTTAGTTTTGAGGCCTGTTCTCATTGATTCTTTTGCTTTTTTACTGTAGGTAGTTAAGTTTTTTGTATACTTTCTTCTTTGCCTGTCTCTTCTTATCCATTTTCACTCTGAAGTTTTTTACTTCTCATTTTTATTCCCTTGGCTCTTTTTTTTCCTTTTTGAATTTTCCCTTATTGAATTTTCATTTTAAACTTTATTTTTAGTCTTCTAGTCTTAATTTATACCTTTCCTTTTTTTCTTGAAATTATTTAACATATAATTTCTTTGTATTGGTTTTGTTTCTAATTTTTAATTTCCTTTTCATGTTCCAAAATGTTTGAGGATATGTAATTCAGTTTAGATTGTTATTTTGAGTTTTTTTCTGCTGTATAGGGCCTCTGCTGAATAGCTGTTTTTTGCTGATAAAGACAGATTTTCATATACTGGGGCATTTTCATTCCAGTTTGTTTTTTCATCTAAGAGTTACTGTGTATTATAGATTTATTTCTTTTTCACTAATTTTACAATTTTTCTTTAAACACAACAGTGATTTAATGATTGATTATTTTAATGGCAGGAAAATGATTGTTCATTCTATGATTTTATGACAGAAAGGAGGTTTTATCTTAATCCTTGGGTTTTTGAGTTTTGGTCTTTCATGTGTTCCTTTATTGGCTGACCCTCAAAAAGCCTGTCTCCCTTCTTTTTGGTGAGAAGTAGTGCCCTTCGCATGCTACTGTGTTGACTTGTGCCTCTTTTTTTCCCCCTCTAATTCATTCATCCATTTATTTATTTGGTACTGGGTCGCTCTATGTAGCTTGGACTCATGTGCTGGGATTGTAGGCATGCGCCGCCACACCTGGTTTCAGTGGTTAGCATGGTGCCTGGCCGGCATGGCATGTGGTACTGGGGATTGAACCTGGGTCCTTGCACTTGCCAGACAGGTGTTTAGACTACTGAGCTGTTTCCCTGGCCTAGCTTGTGACTCTTTTAAGCCCCCTGTCTTTGAATCGGTGCTGTGTTTTACCATGCCTCTTAGACTAACTTTGCGTAGCAGTGCTAGACCATAATGATAACCACATAGGCTGAAATGATTCAAAGTGACTTTAACTATCAGGAGGGAAAATATTGATTATTTTATAACCTTTAAATTTTTTTCCAAAACATAAAAAACTTCTATCAGTTACAGATGTAGAGAATATTTTAATGGTAAAATTAATATTTAATACACTAATTTTCAATGTAAAAATATTAAGAAGTTATCTTTGAACACTTTTTAGTTTCTTGTTGTGAAGATGTAGGTTACTATATGAAACAACCACTATTTCTGATGATCATAATCTTGTTTATATCAGTTTTTAACATTGTCTCCTTTGCATTTTCAATGCAGTGAAACATCCCACAGGATTCTTACGTGTTTTGCCGTAGTGCTTCTTTAAAATATCTTTGACCTTTTCATCTCAACTCCTTCATCTGGCCGTGTAGATATTTCACCTTTACTTCCTTCATCCAGCTGCATATCTGGAGCCTCTAAGACAGCTGTGTTATCAGCATTTCCATTACAGTTATTTCTTCTGTAACTCTGATTTCAATTTTACTCCCAGTGATAGTGCTTTTTATTTCTTTACATGTGAATTTATCACTGAAAGATAGGGCAAAGCCACATCCTTTGCTCTCTGTATCTGAACTAAGTATCATGTGCTTCAACTACAGACACAGCAAAGGAGGTGTCATTGGTCCCTCATTATGACACATATCTATTATGGTTGTTGACTGTAGAACTTACACTTTATGTGGTTACAACAGTAATACTATTGTGTGTACTGCTATTGAAATCATTTGTAAACCATTATTTAAGCCACAGTAATTGGAATTCATACATATTGAAGCAAGGCCTAACTGTAGTTCTACTCTTAGGGTGTGCTTTCTGTTTTAGGAAATGATTTTATATGAATCTCAGATCTATTCATTAGCTTCTTTACCCACCCACCTTTCCTTCCTTTTCTTTTCTTTTTTCTTTCTTTTCCCCCTTTCTCTGTCTCTGTCTGTTTCTCTTCCTCTTTCCTTCCAGGATCTAAGTCATTCAATTGCCCAAGTTGCACTGAAACTTGAGGTCTTACAGCCTCAGCCTCCTACAGTGCTGGGATTACAGTCACATGCCACCACACTGACTTCCCCTCTTTCTTATTCATAATTTTTCAGAAATCACTGTTGCTCTCTGCAAATGTACATCATTAATATAAAAAATAGTTTAGAGGGATTTAATTTTCTTTTTCCATGCTTAGATAGTCTGAAGCTTGATCATGTCTTCTTTTTTGGTTTTGATTTTGGAAAATATGTGGGAAGACCAAAATTTGGGCAGGCACTACTATTTCAGAAAACCAAAGTTGGCTGAAAACAGATTTGTTTCATGATTATAAAGTTTTATGACTATAAAATACACTTGTATTCAACTTACATATACTTGCAAATGGGGGAGGAGTAAAGGTCAAAGCTTTTTACTGGATAGAAGTTAAATATGTAGGTACTATCTTTTAGCAGTCTGTTCTTAGAATGTGCCAGGTGTATGTAGTCAGTGGAGAAGACAAAATCAAGTATTTTGAAAGTGATTGGTTCTACTTCTTAGTGAAGAAAATTGCATATTTTTGAAGATATAAAAAAGACAAAAATGAACACAGTGGCAACTTATTATTTGTTACTAAACTAAACAGAACTTTTCTTTTTCAGTCCTATGACAATGGGCTGGCACAGGGAGCTGGACTTGAATCTCATGGTAAGACATCTTAAATACATGTGATGTTTCTTTAGTTTCTTTAAACATCATGGTCTCTTCAGTATAGATCTCTGAAATTTATCTCAACCCTTAGTGTAAGTAGTTATCCTGTCACTTTCCTACTTTTGTCTTTTGACACTTTGGTAACTATTTGAAGCCTCTTGGGTCAATAATCATTAAGGGATTATTCAATACTGTTCATACAGTATTGTCTAATAATCTGTTCAAGTATTAGCCATATGAAAATATCTTGGAATAACTTCTTAAGCTAGAAAACAGTAATTATTTTCTTTCTGTAAGAGTAAAAGGCTAAATCAGAGATTCAGAATCTTAAATGTGGATCAGATGCGAAGAGATGGAAATTTTTATTCATCTTTCTTAGTATAATTATCCTTAATCATACTCATAAAAAATTGCTGCTTAACTGATATTCAGTATAAATATTAACAGTCTCCTCATATTTTTCTTCACTTTTGGCAGAATCAAAATAGTAACATAATAGCTACTAAGTTTGCCAGCACATCAGTATCCTGACTCAGAGTTGAAATTTCTGTTTGGAAGTAAATAAGCTTTCATTCTCCTTAAAAAGAATGTGCCTAGCTCTTGTAGGCTTTCTGATGAACTTCTATTTCTTCTTCAACAGAGCAGATTGTATTTGCTCGTTTGTTGTCTCCGTGTTCACTAGCATGATGCAGTAGGAGAAGCAGGTCATCATTTGGTGCTTGGCCTCAACACCAACTGCGTTACCTTGGGGTCAGAGTTTTTTCATCTATAGATTAGAAATAGTTGTCCTTCTTTAAAAGTTAAAAGAAATAGAGGAGAAAGTGGTTTAGAAACTATAAAAAAAAACCTGTATAAATATACATTTTTAATGTTCTGTGTATTCTTAGTGTGTCTCTGGGACTTTTGTCCTATCAACTGTCCCTCTCACATCTTCACTCTTTCCTTCAGTTGGAATATTTGTATCACTAAGGGATAGAAGAAGATGGTGTTGGATTTTCCTCTGAAACCATAGTGTATGTAATATGACGGTTCAATTCTTTTATGTGCCTGAGTTAAATGAGTTTGGGTGTAGGGGAGCTATTGATAGAGATTCCTAGCAAGAGTTCACTGCCTTGTGTGTATAGAAGCCAATACTATGGCACCAGGCTGAAAGAAAAGAGAGAGAGTGCACTTTATTGTATGCTCATCTGTCAAAGACGTAGGAAGCTTAGTGGCTATAAAGTCAGATCTGTCTCCCTATTGGGAATTTGGTATCAGGGATATATGAAAAGAGAGAAGCTGCATATTAACTATATAATGAACGGAGGAAGTTTTAGAGTACTTTCAAGCAGATACAGATGGTTATTATGTCTCTTCACAGGTCACAGTATTCTTTTCTGGGTAAATTATGTTCTGCCCAGGTGATTTTTAGGCCATTGACTGGCAGCTGGCTTTTTCTGTGCATATCATTTTTTATTAACTTGAACTTACCCTTGAATAAATTTCTAGAGGTTATTGCTGTAAAATAACTTGAACAGTTTGTTACTTAAGTATATGTCCGGGTGTATCCAAGTGTTGACTGGTTTCAGTAGAGATTGTCATTGGTCATCCTCAGGGTTAAAAGGGGTATAGTTGTAGTTATACAGATAAAATCTGTAATGGCTCTGAAAACTTCTGAGAAGGCAGAATCGAGTGCTCACCATTGCAGCCCTCGGGCTGAGTGAGTTTTTCTGGGCTCTGGGTTAAACAACAGTTGGAAAAGAGTACATGAATTAAAGGAAGGAGAAAAATAACCCAAACCAAAAAATGAGTACATTAGTAATATTTAGATTAGGGAATTAGGGGGAAAAAGCACACAAAAAAATTACGTTATCAAACTGACAGGAATATTTCAAATTTAACTTCCCAGTCCAGGTTTGCAAAATGAAATACAGGGAAGCTAATGAACTGCAAATCAGTGGAACCACTACAGCATGCAGTGCTCTGTGGAGTAATAAGGGACGAAAAAGATGTGATGATCTGACAGTCTAGCAAGAGAAGCTCTGGTAAACAGAAATAAGTACAACAAAATGGTAGGTTGTACTTTTCCAACTGTTGCTTAGCCTATAGCCGATTTGTCAGAAAAACTAAATGAGCGTATTGAACCTTATCTGGGCCATGGACATCTGATGTGACTTGCTTTTATCCCAGTGATTTTCTTATTACAAAACAATTTTAGGGTAAAATGTGTGTCTTGAAGGAGTAGATTTTCCTATTTTTCTAGAGATAAAACTTCTTCCTCTCAAGTTCATAATATAAAAGTTGAGATAAATTAATTTTATTTCATGATTCTTTTTCAAGATCTCTACCTTAATTTCATCTGAATAATCATTTCCCTTTAAATTGTTTCAACTTTTTTGTGTTAAGTACAAAATAAAGTACTTATTTACATACCTGTTTATTTAGTTTTCTTTATCCGTAGCAGTATGATTGTTGATTGTCCTTAAGTATACATAACAGAGATGATAGTTCCTGTCAGATATAAATACTCAGTTATAGATGCAAGAGAATGACTAAAATTGAGCTGTAAAATCTTTTTTTTATTGTTATTATTTTGCAGACCTGGGGATTGAACTCAGGCTCTTGCACTTGCCAGGGAAGTGCTTATTCTACTGAGCCATCCCCCCAGCCCCTGTAAAATCTTATGGGGCTGATTAATACATGTGACCAATGTCCTAGTAAAATATAAATGAAACATAGCACTCAGAGCTAAAAGTGGGAATACCTCCTTTACCTTGAATTGGAAGAACTGAGAGAATCCGTGTGCTCCTTCACTGCTGTGGTATTGTCTCACTGAAGTACTCTGTGTGCATTGATTCTGCATTAACTACAGTGTATCCCCTTAGCTGACAAATTTAATTATTCACATGGAAATCTTTCTCTTATTGTTTGTCTGTGCTTAAATATTTCCTTACTGTTCTGTGCCTTAAAGTTTTCTTCAGATATTCTTCAGCCAAGGCATAATAAACACAGTTTGACTCTTTAAATGTCTGAATTTCTCAAAGGTCAAATTGTGTTCATCACTTTTTATTTTTATTTTTTTATTTTAGGGATGGGTCTACAGGGTGTTCAGGGTCTTACTACTAAATCAGACTTGTAGTGATCTGCCTGTTTGCAGCCTCCCGAGAGCTGGGATTACAGGCGCATACCACCACGCCCAGTCTCAGTTGCCCTCTCAGCATGCCCTGGGAGCAGGGCTGGCACCGCAGTCCTGAGGATCAAACCCTTGGCCCCTTCACCTGCTTGCAGGTGTTTCAATCCACTAAGCTGTTTGGCTGGCCCTTTGTGTTCATTATTATGAGAAGAAATTCTGGCATCCTTTAAATGTTGTGATAGAGTTCATTGATTTATTTTGAGTTCTTATGCTTGTCTGTTATAGTCTTATTCTAGCCTTTTTTCCTGGCACTAGGAATTGAATCCAGAGCCTTTGTACTAAGGTACTTCTCCAGGCTTTTATTCCTCTTCTTTCTTTTTTAGATTTTGAAATAAGTTCTATTTGGGCTCAAACTTGTGATCCTCCTGCTTCAACCTCCCAGAATGCTGGGATTTCATATGTGTGCCACCATGCACAGCTCTTAATGTCTTACTTGTCAAGATGTACTAGATTTTGTTCTGCTTTTATGTCTGCCTTTAACACTTCTAATATTCTGTGTAAAGCCATATTCTTCAGGGACAGTGAAGTTTAACTGTTGGCAAATTAGTTGTAGTTTAAAGCATGGACTGTATACTATGTAGTTCTTTCTGATCACTCAAATCGCAAACTTACTTTTGAAATAACCACTTTCAACAGCTGGTATAATGCTCAAATAAAGTGTTTTTAGTTTGAATTTACCATTTCATTTGCAAGAGTCCAAACACAGAGTTTAAAAGCTAATACTTAAATTCTTCTTTCTTTTTGGTAGTTTTTAAAATGGCATACTGTCAATTAGAGATAATATGTTTTGTTTGTTTGTTTGTTTGGCGGAACTGGGGATTGAACTCAGGCCCTTGTACTTGCCAGGGAAGCACTTATTCTACTAAGCCATCTCCCCAGCCCCTATAGATATTATGTTTAATGATACAGTAGTACCTGAAGTCATCACCATCATGAGAGAGAAGTGTAAGTTAGCGAGTTAGCATGCTAGGAGTAATGGCATATGCCTATAATCCCAGCACTTGGGACCATGAGGCAGAAGGATCACTGACTTCAAGGCCAGTGTGAACTACATAGTGAGTAGTCTTATCTCAGAATATCAGAAGGGGTGAAAATGCAAAAAAGCAAAAACGAAAAAAGATGAAACTAGTAGATCATTGACAAGAAAATACAGTTAGTTGATAGTTAATAGAAATGATTGTAAAAGGTTCTGATAAATTTTTCTTTCCTATTTAGTTTCCTCAAGAATTCTAAAGATTAAATAATTTTCACTGACAGGAATACACTTTTTGTTTTGTATTTTAGGGAAGGGTCTACAGGGTGTTCAGGGTCTCACTACTAGATCGGACTTGTAGTGATCCACCTGTTTACAGCCTCCCAAGAGCTGGGATTGTAGGCACCCATCACCAGCTCAGTCTCAATTGCCGTCTCAGCATGCCCGGGGGCGGGGCCAGCATGGCAGCCCGGGGGTCGAACCCCCAGCCCCTGCGCCTGCTTACAGGTGCTTTAATCCGCTGAGCTATTTGTCTAGTTCAGGAATACACTTAAGTAGGACAGCTGCATTAATTTTTTATAGTCACGTTTCCATTCCCAGAGAATCCATATACAATTTGTAACACCAAAAGGAAAATTAGGGCCTGAGACATATTAGAAATAACCCATTTAAAATGCTGAAATTAATAAAAAGCCTTAGAGGTCTTCGTTACTTTCTTATTGCTGAGACAAAAATACCCAACACCTACAAGTTAAAGAAGAAAAGGTTTTATTTTGGATTGCAATTTGTAGAACCAGCTGACTGGCTCCAAAGCAGGGTGGCATGGCAGAGGGGTATCGCAGAGAAGAAGCACTGTATGCAGGGCAGACAGAAAGCAGCAAGCCTGTTGTTCTTCCTATCCTTTTATATTCCATCAAGACTTCAACAAGCCTGTTGATTGGTGCAACCCACACCCAGTGTGTGGCTTTCCTCTTGAGTAAATCCATTCAGCCACACCCAGAACTATGCTAATCCAAGTAGGAGACTAATCTAGATACCACAAACCCTTAATCCCAGCATCACACCCCCTAGATCCAGCTACCTCTGAGAAGCCCCACCTATGAATACATGAGATTTTTGGAGAGGGTAGATGTAGATATAAGCGATAACACTAGGTAAATCTGTAATAAAATTGGAAGTACAAGTATTTTTCAAAATATTTGTTATCAACAAAGAGTGCCAGTGGAAAGTGGTATTTCTTTTCTTTTATGGAAAAATACTGGCTTTTCATTTCCTGAGTAAAAGTGTACCCTCGATTGGTAATACCTGTTGTTACTCATTCCAGGACCCCTGCAAAGTCAAATGCTCAAGTCTCATATAAAATGGTGTATTTGCACACAAATTAATGTACCTCCTCCCATTTACTTTAAATCATCTATGGTTTATAATATCTAACAATGCAAATGCTGTGTAAATAGTTGTTATGTTGCATTGTTTAGGGAATAATGACAAGAAAAATGTCTTCAGTATACAGTGATATCTCAGTTTACTAGCTTTGTTCCACGTTTTTAGAAAAGATGGCCACATTTGTGTTTATGTTTGAAAGATGGCCAGTGTCATGTTTGTCACCTGATGCAGATTTTGTAGGGTTCCTGAACTAAGCACTATACTGTACTTTTTTCCAAATATTTTTGCTCCTCATTTGATTACATCCATAGTTGCACATCTCACAAATAGAAGGGGCCACCTGTGCTCTTTTAAGGCACTTAAAATCAGAATCACGTGACTGAGTCTTGGGCAGTAACTTACTAGTCCTAGAATTTGGTTCCAAATCTATTAACTGTATAATTTTGAACAAGTTTTTAAAATCTATTCCAAGTCTTTTTTTCATGAGTAAAATGTTTTTTCTAGTTTTAAATTATTTTAAAATCTATTCTCAAGAAATTAATATTGAAGATTTCAGTGTTAGTTTGAAATTGCTGTTTACATTTTTTTCATTGTTTTTTAGAAGTATTTAATTACTTTTTTCCTTAACCATTTTGTAATGTTTGCATCTAAGCTCAAGTTTATAGCACTGTGTGGTTTTGATTAACAGGAGGCTCTACCTTTTGTGGCATTGCGTCACTATGCCTGATGGGTAAACTAGAAGAAGTTTTTTCAGAAAAAGAACTGAACAGAATAAAGAGATGGTGTATAATGAGACAACAGAATGGTTATCATGGACGACCTAATAAGCCAGTGGACACCTGTTACTCTTTCTGGGTGGGAGCAACTCTGAAGGTAAGAGAAATAATAAAATAAGGAACCTATACTCTGTGTTAATAGTAATTCTGCTAGAAGTTTGGTCTTTGTCATGTGTGTTAAATATATTTAGCCGTAGGCTACTAAATTCTGTTTGTTGCACTAATTACAGTTTTCTTATACAACTCAAATGATTGAGTACTTGAGTTTTACACCTACTTATATTTATGTAAAACTTTTATATGCCTACTTTCATATACACCTAATATCATAAAAGGCCTGTTACTAAACCTAGTTGTCTGTATAATTCAAAGATCTATTTTTGGAAAGTGATACTAATAAAGATTTTATGAGAAGCTACTAATTTTAAAAAATAACCAATTTCTTGAAAAACTAAGTTTTTTTCTAAGTATTCCAAATTTTCTTCTATCCTTGATGCCTTTTAATATACTAACTTCATAACATTATTGAGCCAGTAGTCCTACAAATTCTGTATCTTAAAAATGTTTTTCACCTTTAAGAAATATCATGTAGTTAACATATTCTAAATCTAACAAGAACATATATTCATTTACTATATGATATCCTTATTTTCTCTCATAAACAAGACTCATACATATGGTTGAAACGTATTCAGACAAGAGAATGACACAAAAATGATAGCAGTAACCTCCACTTTCTCCCCATTTCTCAGCATCCTGATTTTTCTTTAATGATAGAAAATGTCTGATATTCACAAGCAGGGAGAATGGTGTAATGACTACCCATATATCCATTAGCCAGTCTCAGTTATCTCAAAGCCATTATCCATATTGTTGAGTACTTTCTCTTATTCACTGTTATTTTATGACAAATCCTAGATACAATTTTTATATTTTGTAGAATTCTTCAAAGTAATCTCTAAATGAAACTAACTTTAAATCAGAAGCTTAAACAGGGTATAGTTGCACACACACACCTGTAATCACAGCACTCTAGGAGACTAAGGTGGAAAGATTACAAATTTGAGCCCTATCTGGGTGACTTAGAAATATATATCAATAACCTTAAGTATTACATCTAAAAAATGTCATAATTTCTTATCGTTAAATATGCAGGCAGTGATGACGAATCATATCAAGAAGCACATAAATATCTGGTTGTCTGTCCTTTTGATCAAAGTGCTCCAGAACTGTCAACATGATTTTTTTCATTATAAATTTCCCATTAGCTTTCTTTTTTTTTTTTTACTTTTTCTTTTAGTGTAGTAAAAAATATAACATATGCAGTGATTGTCATTACATTCACAGTGTTGTATAACCACTTCCCTGTTTATATGCAATTTTTCATCATCCCCAGCGTAAGTTCTGAACCAGGTAAATGTTAACTTCCCACTCACCCCGCTACCACCTCACGTACCCCTGACCCCCATAATTAACTTCTTTACTATTCTCTGTTAATTTGCATATTCTGGGTATTTCATATAAGTGGAATCATGAAATATTTGTCCTTCTTTGTCTACTATTTTACTTAGCTTGTTTTCAGGGTTTATCCATGTTGTAATACATATCAAAATGTCATTTTATGGCTAAATAATATTCTTTTTTTGTTTGTTTTTCTTTTGTTTTTTGGTTTTTTGATTTTTGGGGTTTTTTTGGTTTTTGGTGGAACCGGGGATTGAATTCAAGCCTTTGTGCTTGCCAGGGAAGCACTTATTCCACTGAGCTATCTCCCCGGCCCTGGCTAAATAATATTCTATTGCATGTGTATACCACGTTTTTATTCATACCTGTATTAATGGTCACTTGGATTGTTTCTATTGGTTGTTGTGAATAATGTGATGCACATGGTGTATAACACATGTTCTGATTCTTTTATTTATTTTAAATTGCTGGTCATACAAGAGTTTGTTTTTTTTCTTCTTCTTCTTCTTCTTCATACTGGGAATTCTCAGGACCTTATGCTTGCCAGACAGGCACTGTGCAGCTGAGCTGTATCCATGGCCCTATCTTTAATTTTTGAAGAACTGCTAAACTTTTCCACAGCAATGCACCATTTTACGTTCCTTCCTACAATGTGTAAAGGCTCCAGTTTCTTTACACCTGTACCAACCCTTTTTTTTTTCCTCCTGATTTTTTTTTTTGTTTGTTTTTAGGGTTTTAGGGTTTCTAACGATAGCTCATTATGGTTGTGATTTATTTGCATTTCTAATAATGATGCTTGAACATCATTTTACGAGCTCATTGTTCACTTACATATCTGTTAGGAAGAAATGCCTATTCCAGTCTTTTACCCTCTTTTCAGTTAGGCTTTGTTGGATTTTAGTTCTTCATTTTATCCATTTATTGTGGACATTATCCTTTATTCTGGACATTAGTCCCTTATCAGTATATGGGTTAGAATATTTGTCTCTCATTTCTTGAATTGCCTTTTAACTATTCGTAGTGTTCCTGAATGCCCAAAAGTTTTGTTTTGATACAGCTCAGTTTAATTTTCTAGGGGCTGGGAAGATAGCTCAGTAAAATAAGTGCTTGCCTGGCAAGTACAAGGACCTGAGTTCAATCCCCAGTACTGCCAAAAACCCCAAAAAACCAAACCAAAAAAAAAATTAATTTTCTTTCACTTGTACTTTTGGTATCATATTTGTGAAATAATTGCCAGATCAATGTCATAAAGACTTTCCTTAAGCTTGCCTTTTAATTTTATAGTTACATAGTTGATGTTTAGGTTTTTCATTAGGCTTGAGTTAATTTTAATACTAGGTAGTATAAGATCTAGTGTCATTCCTTTTTTTTTTTTTTTTGCAGTACCATTCTTTATATCATTAAGGGATTAAAAATGGTGACATTCTACCATTAGCACTAAATTTATCTGTTAGCATTCCTGTAAAACGAATTTTACTTTCCTGAGGTATAGTTTGTAGAAAAAGGAGCAGTTAGACACACCTTTCCATTAAATTTAGGAATGTTGAATACAGTGACTTGGTTCTGTAGTTTCTCCTCAAGAATTCCAATGAAATGTTACGTTTTAGAGTTTTCTTATAAGTATCCTTCCTTGTGAACTCATTTCTTTTCAGTGATCAAACTGTCTGGTCCTTAACCTGTGTTTGGACTTTGAATCCTACTGATACAGTCTTAATATTTGACAACTCCTGAAAACAAACCAGTTCTACACATTTTTTAATTTTCTTTTTTGTGGACATTACCTTCACCTTAAATGATATCAGTTGCTTGACTTCACAGCCCTAGATATAGTTTAGACATCTTTATCTATTTTTAGATATCTTTGATTCCCAATTGTGACATTTACCTTCCTTTTTTTCTAGCAAATTGTTAGTGATTATTTTATTATTAGTTGTGAACATAGCCTCTTTTACCTTTCAAAGCTATAAGCTTACTTTTATAATGTCACATTTGGTAAACATTCATATTTTGTTTGGTGGCAATAATCAATTCTTACTTTTTGCCTACAGGTCAATCCTAAAATTTGAAAACCAGTAGTCAAACGTAGTGACAGTGTAAATATTGGATGTTGTTTTTTTTTATTTTAAGAATAGGCAAATATATTGAGGAATAGGGATGGGGAATAGCAATAACTCTTTCTGAAAGATAGGAAGGGGTCCTGAATGGGTTGCCAACAAGCCCACTTTTTCTGAGGTTTTATACAGCAAAGTCTTGAGGTGGGTACAGTGTCAATCAAAACTATAATCAGCCAATAAGACTACAGATAATGGCACTTGGCTAATGTTGGTCAGTAGCAAGGGCACATGGCATGACATCCTTAACCGTAGTTGATTATCTATAGACTAAACATGTCTTTTGTCTCAGTTTTAGTCTTAGTCAGGGGTGGCGAGTCAGGGGGTGATGATGGAAAAAGATGGCCTGCCTCTGATAAGATAATGGTTTATTTACATGAGAAATATCAAAAGGTTGGTCCCAATAATCTCAAACTTTTGCTTATCCATTAGGGAAATAGGCAGTAAATGTGGCCATATGACTTTTATCTTCAGATGACCCTCCAGCTATAGTTCCAAAGTGTTCTCATCTTCTGCGTTGACTCTCTGAGAGCCCAGCCCTGTCTGACTGCCTATATTTCTATCTAACTTAGCTGTCTATAATACTTCCCCTACCCACCCAACAGGTAGCCCTGTGACTGGGGGAAAGGGTATGTAGTTTCCACCTAGCTGCTCTAGGCTGAGAAGGGTAGATGACCGTAGTCAGTGGCCTTCTCCAGAGAGCTAATGTAATGGACCTTGAACTCATGTTGTGGTTTAGCAGGTATGAACTCCTTTCATAAGGTTGATCTAAGAAGCAGAGCACTGAGTTTATAATTATTCTTTTTGATGTGATGAGGCATGTGCTACTTGATGGAAAATATTCCTGGCATCAGGATTCCAGAGAATCTCTTTTCTTGTATTCTAATAGTTAAGTCAAAATAAATGAGTAAATTTTCTTATTATTTATAACATAATTTCCTTCAAGCTTTAGCTTTGTTTTGGGAAATGTTTGTTCACCAATCACTAATATCTTCTTGTGGCTCTGTTTGAGTCATTAACACAATTTATGCCAACTTAGCTTCAATACTTTGTTGAGCTGTTTTGTTCCAATTTCATTTTCCTTCAGTTTTTTCATCTTAATGAGATCCTGAGAGGGACTATAAAATACATGTCCTAAATCACTGTTTACAGTTTGTTATGTCCTAATCATACTTGTCCCAACTTTTATCTTTTAAAGTACTGTAAGCTTTTACTGTCCTTATCTAGCTTCTGCTTAATAATTTTTCTTTTTGAAATATTTTTAATTTTTAATTTTAATGATAGTGAAAATTCCCGTTACTACCATTTTGTAAAACATAGATTAAGAGCCTATAATAAAAGTTTAAGGGCCAGTGAGATAGCTCAGCAGCATAAGCACCTGCCTGGCAAGTGTAAGGTCCTGAGTTCCATCCCTGGTACAAAAGAAAAAGGTTAAATAGGGCGTTCTTTTAAATGACTGATTATTGGAGAACTGATTGGAGAAACTGTGTTTTCATCTAGCTTAATGTGATACAAAGAGCTTAGGTCCCTTCTGGTTCCAAAGAAAATAGTGGGTTAAAGAAAGAAGGGTAGGCTTGGCAAGAAGACTGAAAAAAGACAATGTAGCTGGTGAATTTTAAGTGTTGGAATCCCCAAAGATTTGCTACAGAAAAATGTATCTAACTATTACATAATGGGTATAAATAATACATATCTGAAATGTAAGACAGTGGTCAATGTAAACATTTTATGTCAATTAATTTGTTATTTCCTTTCAGCTTCTGAAAATTTTCCAATATACTAACTTTGAGAAAAACAGAAATTACATTTTATCAACTCAAGATCGCCTTGTAGGAGGTTTTGCTAAATGGCCAGATAGTCATCCAGGTAATTGTGTTCTTTATAAATCCAGTATAACTTTCTTTTGGTTTTTGAAATCTTCAAGCATCTTTGTCAGAAAAGTTATGTGATAGAAAATCTTACCACATTTGTAAAGTTAAATAATATGTTTTTTAAAAGATTATTTAAGGGCTGGGGAGATGGCTCAGTGGAATAAGCACTTCCCTGGCAAATGCAAGGGCCTGGGTTCAATCCTCGGTTCTGAAAAAAGAAAAAAAAAAGATTATTTAAATTTGAGATGGATTTAGAGTGATGACCATTACAAAGAAAAAAGTTCATTATCAAGATATATTAGTATGGTGTGCATTTTCCCCAAATTTTTAGTAGTGTGTTAGGACCTTTGCAAAATAGGAAATATGGATTGTTCAGAATTGTTAGATATGAGTGGAGCTAAGTAGAATACATTGCTCTGAATCATAAAGGAAACCAGTTCTTACTCATTTCAGAAGTCATTAATTGAGGGGCTAGGGAGATGGCTCATTAGTATAAGTTCTTGCCTGGCAAGCTCAAGGGCCTGAGTTCAGTCCCCAATTCTGCCAAAAAAAAGTCATTAATTGAAAAAATATATCAAATCCTGAATACTGGTGTCTCTCACTGTCCATATTCTTATTCTCTAGATTTTAGCAGAATCGGGTAATTAGTACAGGTGACTGCTTTACATCTGAACTTATGCCATTCACTGTGTAAAGCTCAGGAAGCAATTACATTTGGGAGCAGCACCCAGAGTCTGGCTCTTCTCCCGCTTCTCACGGTATTCTCTAGCCTAACCGTTTTCAGCAATCTAAACTGCAATCTAAACTGCAATCTAAACAGCAATCTAAACAGCAATATAAACAGCAATATAAACATTTATAATTTTCCACAAAAATCAGAGAGTGAAAGTAATTCAGAGCATTGATATTTTTACTAGCAAATTGGCAGAGAATTACTATCTATATAAATGAGATACAAGGAAGGATTGTTTTTATAGAATGATTATAGAATTATGGTCTTTATTATCAGTCTAGAAAATTGCTTCTTCAGCTCATCTCCTGTCATAGCACTGTGATGGTTGGAATGTGTACTTGAATCAAAATATAAAGGACTCATGAAATCATATTTTTGTACTTAAAAAACAGGAATATTTCCTCACATTCATATTTACCTGTATTTTAACGTTAAACATGCTTTCTTAGAAAAAAATACAATGCTTCAAAGTCATAAGCTAAACTATATTTTCACAAATTAATTTCGAAGCAAAATATTTTTATATTTTTGCATGTACAATACATAGCTCTAAAAGAATACATACCTATACATGCTTTAAAATGCCTCAAGAAAGCTGAAAGTTATTTTGGTTTAAAATTTTTTTTAGGGGCTGGTAAGATGGCTCAGTGGTCTAAAGTACCTACTTGGAACAAGCTTGGCAAAGCACAGGGACCGCAGTTCAATCCCCAGCACCACATGCCAGCCAGCCCTGCCCTCTGGTGGGCTGGGCTGGCCACACACACA